GGCACATAGAAGAAAATTCAAAAATTATTCGTTATACTTATTATATAAATTTTCAAGCTACAAAAATGGCAATTTGCTTTTGGGATCCCACAAAACGTCATGTATATCACTACTCATAAAATATTTTATCGATTGCTAGTCACAGGCGGAAAATATTATATAGATGCAGGCACAACGCGATCCGAAATGGGTTCAAATTTGCAGGATGGGAACCTAGGGTCTGTTCTGCCACTATATCTGCCCAGAAAACTGTACCTATTGACCTATTTGTACCGAACCCGTTCCAGCAAAAATCAATAAATATCAAACCAAGCAGGCTTACCTGAAATATCGTACATCGCGATTAATATCGAAATCTTCTTGAAGTAGTCGTATACGCTCGAGCAAGTCTGACTTTCGCAAACAGTCAGACGTAATCTTTCCCTTCCAAACGCAACCAAGATTCCACATGATTCTAGCGATAACCTAAATTCACAAAATAGGGAATAAAGTAACAGTTGTCCGCAAGAAAAATCGTTAAAAAATACTAGCCAACGGATCTTTACACTTCTAAATTCCTCTTAACTCGGCTTATTAAGGATGAGGAGCTCAGTCCTCAAGGGCACCGTACGAACTCCTCCCCTACCACACCATCCACTACCACAACTGTTTCTACAGTGCCTATCTATTTGGGCACCACATGGCACACTCTAACTCCGCCCTTCTCCCGCCCTCCAGACATCGCGACCACTGCCTTTAAATATTTGTGGCAATTACACTTCCACTACTCAACATATTCTATGTATTATACTTACCACATCGCAATATTTATCATGGAAATCAACGGCTTCACGGCAAAATTCAAGACCCGGATGGGAGTGCATGATGTCCATGACCATTCCGTAAAGGTCTTCTCGTGTCAGGTAACTCCGGCTGCCACAGCTGAGCGTGTAGATAAACCTAAAGAATGGTACCGTTAAGTAGCTGCAAGGGAACAATAGGTGAGGACAAAGAGGCAATAACGCTTTTCCGCAAATCAGGGCCTTTAAAAAGTACCCCTCCCCCTCCACCCAAGATCAATCACAGTACATTACTTGTCCCAAAATCACTCCTGTTTAGGCCGAGTGCATATTCAAGCACTTCAACGACTAAGAATCATAGATAAATTCCAGATATCAACCCCTTCCCCCCCCCCCCTCGCAGAACGCCGTTTTGAAGAGCTCAGAATGTGCAAAACAGTGTCCACAACATCCTTTTTACGAAACATCGGAAGTTCTACTTTAGCGCTCACACTACAGCGCTATGAATTCAATTAAGCGAATGTGACTGGGTTTCCGGAAATGGTATGCGAAAAACTCGGGATACTTGGCGATATGTCAATGGCAGTGAGCACGATGGGTGAAGGGTGCGTGGTTGGGGCCATCTTACACGACCTTCCACCAACCGCGCCCAATGACGTCAATGAAATAGCTCCACCCTCCAGTCATCGTGTTCACTGCCTTTAAGGAACAAATCCTATAGGGCAGCAAAGGATGAAGCCTAGTGAATTCGTTTACGACCTCCCGCTACTGATGTGAAATCCTAGAACAGATCTCGACCAAATCTTTAGTACAAGCGTAAAGAATTGACAGCTGTTGGGGTAATGCGACATTCACGGGGATCAACTGTTGCTCGCTAGCGATCATAAAAGCCAACATATCTTTCACAGATAAAAGAAAGAGGAACTAAATATGAGGAAACGGTAAGAATTGATTATAAACGTACCGAGCAGCTTCATCATGCGCGACACTTGTCATGGCACGCCACCAAGCTGTGAAGTCCATCAGCGATGCACGACGGGGCTGAAATGCATCACCTATTGGGATCTTGACAAGTATTTCTGACAAGCCTCTAAGAATCTTCTTTGCACGTTACACCTGACGAGGGAGAAGCTATTTGAGCCTTAAAGGCAGTGAACACGATGGCTGGAGGGCGGTGCGATTTCGATGACGTCATTGAATGTCATTGGTGGAAGGGGATAATGCG